ACACAGAGGGAAACAGGAAGCGAGACCTTGAGTTCTGGCTTTAATCCAGCCATTTCTTCCCTACAGTAAAAAATATGTGGAATCAACTGCTTGACTTCTAAATAGTTCCCATCTCTCCTACATCTTCTAGTCCCACCCTCAGGAACACAGAGAGTCCACAGTTTTTCAGCTTCCGTTCATGGAACAGGCACACACAAACCCAGGGACACAAGTACATGCATGTACAGTCGGACCCAAGTCCCTCCAACTACTGTGCAAATGTTTCTTCTTATTCTCTTTTCAGCAGATGCCATCAGAAACCTGTGTATCACTGTGACACAGGCCTCTCTTCTTCAAATAACTTCATAATTCCATCTTACATTTGGTCCCTTTACAATAAATCAGTGCTTTCTAAATGCAATCCAAGCCAGTGACAACTTGGATTTGACTAAAACAATGAGGGAACCAATTCATTTCTTTTATATAGTTATATTTTAAATGTTACTTCACTTCTTTGAATAAAAAGCCAGTATCCCTTGGCAAAGGCAGAAGGTAATTCCAAACCTACATACAAGGAACACCAAAGATGTCAGTGAATGCATACAATCATTCCCTGCAGAAACCTCAGGGCCTGAGTCCAGCTCTCGCTGTGGGGCTGGTGTGGCTAACAGGCATCTCTAGCACTTGCTGATACCACTTTCAATAAACCTATAATTTTTTCTTAACTAGTGCGTAGGACTGACAGAGAGTTGAAAGGGAAAAACTTCTTCCATGTGTCGCCATGCGCATCCCGAGCTCATCTCATGCGTGGTAGCTCCTGCCCTCCGCAGTCTCTGAGAGCCCGTCTCCTAACCCAGGAGGCCAACGTGGACCCGAGTTCACATAAAAGTATGACCTACCTCAAGGACCCGGGAGAAGTATGAGGGTCCCTCCCAACCCACATGGCACCTTTGCGAAAATTAGGAAAAGGAGCCCACTCTGGGCAGGTGAGCACTATGAGTGTGCAGGGCTTGGTGACAGGATGGTGTCTGCACGAGCATTTGAAAAAGGCCTCTCTTTCTCTGGCCCAATGTCACCTTCTGCCAGACAGACACCAGGTTGGATTTTGGCCCCACTCTACCCTTTGGCTTGGTGCCCTTGTGCCATGAACAAGAGGAACAACTATACTTGGTGGTTTGCCAAGCATTACCTAAGCCTCGGCATTTCCATTACTTATTACCAAATTCATAATTCAGTGGCTGACTTTCTAGGGCTCTGTGTGGTGTCCTACCCTACCCCTGTCCCAACTCCTCTTAACTTCTAGCCTTTGGGTTGTGCGGTGGCTCGGGAACACTCCCACAGGGACATGCACTGGAGAAGAAGGAAGCACTGACAGCTCCCCTGAGGGTTCCATGTGTCCTCTGGTGTTGGCTCGCTGCTGCTGGCCCATCCCCACCCTGCTACAGCTGAGGCTGGCTCTGGCAGAGAAGCACCCCATCCTTCGCCGCTGAGATAGCTGTTTCCTTTCAGTCCTGTTGATATTTAATAACTGAGTAATTAGTCGGGTTCTGAGGTATGCCTCTTTTGCCAAAGGCACACACTAACAAACATCGAGCCAAGGTAACTTACTGAAAGCGGCACAACTGAGGACAAGGGGCTCTAAGCAAATGGGTCCTAACTCAACACAGCTCTGCCTGCAAGATCAGAACTCTGACAAGCGTTGGTTCAAGCGACAAGATGCTGATTTAAAGTGCCACAAAGAGCTGGGCGGCAGGAGGGACCTCGGTTTGTATTAGCACGGACAGAAAGCAGATTTTTATATGTTTATTCTTTATACTTCAAATTCTGAGTAATTCACAGCCCAGTCTACATGGCAATCTTGAAAAGAGAATTCTCAAATGTTACTGAGTTCCAAGGATTCATTTTGGCTTTTATAATGGCTTACACAAAGCCATCATATAAAAGTCCATATAAATAAGACAGGCTTGGTTCATAAAGCCTGTAGGAGAATATAGTGGGGAGGAACTAAACTTTCCAAAAAGAGGACACATTGGCCAGTTACCTCTCTTTGAACATAAGCCCCTACAAGATCCTCTAGTCCAGTACAAGGACCCACTGCCCATTGGTGACAGGCCAGGGGGAACTAGGGGTGACCCATCACTTTTGAATACAAATTTCTAGAGGAAATTGGAGAAAACAACCTATCTAAACCAGAAGTGGCAAACTGGCATCAGCTCCTGTGTCAGCGCTACGTGATCAGCAATGACTGCTTGAGTGCTGAGCTGAGAGGCATTCTGGAGTCACACTGGGCTCAAAGGAAAGGGGCTATAACTTGATAATGACTTCAAAATTCAGTGTGACCCAGGTTGGATGGTCACATACTCCACCACTCCTTGCCCCTCCCCAGCAGTCCTCAATAATCTTTTCCTAACAGGAAGTAAGTTTGAATAAATGGTTCTCTTTAGAACAAAAGTGTGAAATTCCTCAGACAGAACATAATGATTATAAACTGCTCATTCAGAACAGCCCTGAGACACTGGAAGGACCACTGCTGCTGAGAACAGCACTGTGCAGCCTGCATGAATCTCGGGAATAACTTCCAGCCAAAGCCCCTGGCCACCTACTTATTAAGTATGACGCTGCTGTGCTGACAGACTTACAGGAGGTCTAAACTAAGGCTGGGCAGTTGGGCACGGTCTAACCTTGAGAGCTAGCTGTCCTTTCAGTCTTTGGGAAATAAGGTTTTAAAAGCCCCTAGGTTTAAGACTTGTATTCCTGAAGATCAGCCACCATAAAAGAAGACATTCAATCCGGGACTAGGCATCGCTCCTGGTCACGGAGCTTTGGGGAACTCACAGAAGGCTGGGAGGGGGCTGGCTCCACCCTCATCACCAGGACGCACTTCGTTATTCAGAGATACGGTATTCAAAAGTCTTAGAGTTCCACAGGGTTCCAAGCTTGGCAGGATCTAGCAACATGGATTGCCTCCTGCTGGCACTCCTGTGATGCTGCCATCAGAAAGTCATCCGGTGGCTCAGACACCCACTCTGGTAGCTGAAGAAACAGATGTAAGAGAAGAGCTTCTGTCCTCTGAAGGGCTTTACCTGTCCTCCCTAGTGCTGTGGACCACAACAGCAAAGCTTTCTTACAGATTTCACCCACGTATAGGCAGCACATCTTCAAAAACTCAGCTCATAACCAGCTGTATATGGGGAACATTAGTGGTCATTGGACATCAGGAAACAATTTACTTACACGATCACTTTGGCCGCCAGTCAGGAATTCAGGAGGCATGCAAAGCCCCTGATCACTGCAGTGCCAGTTCAGTGTGTGGGAAAAGCATTCAGAAGCCTTGTGCAAGTGCAGGAAGGGGCAGTGCACCCACGTCCCATCACCTCGCATTTGTCTTAACTTGCTACTGTTAAAGCAGCATTCAAAACATATATCTGTACCTGTATCCACCTAAGTCCCAAAGTACTCGTATAGTAGATAAGCTTAACTTACAGAAGCAAAATGCAAAAATCAAACCCATTTTTAAATCTCCACGGTCACATCCTACACAACTCACACAGGACAAGCAGATTTGGACCACGTGGATCAAAATCAGTTTGAGAACATGAAAGTTAAGGTAGTCTCAGAAAATTTAAACATCAGTAATTCACAATGAAACTCAAAATGTGCCCACATTGTTACCATTCACAAAGGAAATAATTCAGGGAGAGCACTGGCGCTGGGTCTTCTAACTCCTAGGATTTCCATCACTCCATGCTAACTCCCTCAGAAAGTGAACTAAAGGAAAAGTTATAACAAGTAAGCAATTATTTATTCTTTTTATTTGCAAGATCTTTAAAAGACACTGGCTCAATGCAATCAAAAGTACAATATTTGACCCAATAACTTCTAAAGATTATACTCCCTGCTAAATCTTGTGTCTGCACATTAGAAATCATGTGGGGTCCACGATGACATGACAGAATAGACCCAAACTGCTGATGACGTTTAGATTCAAATATACTTGTATTTCTCATTGACACATCAACAGCCATTGACTTTTCCCAAAGTCAGTAAAGCAATGAATTTATTTGAGAGGCTTATTGTATTGCCTACTCTAACTTGCATAAATCTCTGATGATATCTAATCTGAAAACTCTGCTTCCTCCTTTTGCAATTATTCCCAGTTGCATTGACACTACCTTCTGCAGGAAGGTACAAAGAACGCCGCAGCACAGCCCTGGGAAGGCAGGCCCATCACTGCCCGGCTGAAACTGCTAGGCTCTGGGGCTCCCCACAGGAGGTGGTGCGGTCTGGGTTGCCACTTTAGCAAATAAAAACACAGGTGGCTCAGTTCAATTTGAATTTCAGATAAACAACAAATAATGTTTTATTCATTGCTTATCTGAAATCCAAGTGTAACTGGGTGTCGTGTATTTTATCCGGCAACCCTACTTCCTTCCACTGTAAGTCCCTGTGTATGGTTTGCACAAAAGGAGACTCTTTTCTAACATCCTGTTGAGACTGCAACTTTTGCAGATTAAAGTTGAAGAACAGTCCCTACATCTATACCATGCCCTTGATGCCTTCATACTTCAAGGACTTTCAAAGTGGCTTTGCCCTGTTCTGCTAGAGGGAGAGGCTCCCTTCGAGGGGGAGGAGGTGGGAGCGGGACAGGATGCATGGTGCCACAGAGCAGTGCGCCCGCACGCCTTCCAGACTCCACTTCCATAGTAGTGCACAGCTCCCACAGCACTTTATAAATGAGATAATAATAATCATTATTATGTGCTGCTGCTGCTGCTGCTGCTGAGCACCTGTTTACTGATCATCAAAAACAAGAACCGGCAGCATGTTTGGCCCGCTCCCACTGAGGATGCAGATCAGGCTCAAAAATACTCCCGTGAAAAAACTGGAGATTTAAAGGTTCTAGTCCCACTTAAAAAACAATACTCTTTGCTTCAGATCAGAAGAAAGCAGCTGATCTTTGTCTTTGTCTTCAGCTCTAAAACATTCCATTCACTCTCTTCTCTTGATGGAAACTTACTCACCTCAACTAATGAATCCCTCAGTCAGCAGGAACTCGCCATCTTTTCTCACCTGCAGAAAGTAAGCATAGGAAAATAAACAACTTAAGAAGAAAAAAATCCACCACCCAGAGATGGCTAAGAGGTTTAATTATTGCCTGGAAAGCAACATCCTTGCACAGCATCTGTAAGACTCATTTTCATAATTACGTTCTGATTGAAACTGGGACTTGCAACAGGGTAAACTCACTTCCATATTAATATTAAGTAATGATTAACACAGCTCAGGACCCAGGTTCAGGATCTGAGAGCATGGACTAAATGGAAATAAATTTTAACCCATAGGGGTAAATTTGCTATTTGTTTCTCAAATGATTTTCCATTCATTAACCGGCATACAACAAACTTACATTTGCTCCATGAGAACTCATCAGAACGAATTCCGGCAGTTACCAAGGGGCCCTGCTGAACACAAGACCTCCTCAGATTTGACTCCCTACCTCCCATTTTTCTCTCCCTGTCCTCCCTCCTCATCTTGTCTTTGTTTTTGCAAATTCATTCTCCCTTTCTCTTGTTCTCTGTGTCTGTCTGTCTGTCTTTCTCTCCCCAACTCCGTCTCTCCCACCCTCTCCCCTTCCTTCTCCTTCTCACACTCTGTCGATCACCTCCTCACCCTCTTGCTGTCACACTGGCCTCTCTCCCTTTCATCTCCTTGACACCACCCGCTCTGTCTTGTGCTCCCTTACACGGCCTCATACACGTTTTTGCTCTCTCCCACCTGGCAGAATCTGATGGCTTCAACACCAGAGAGCAATAATTAACCAGATTATCTAAGAGTAAATAATTTTTATTGTTCAACCCAAGTGCATACAAATCACTAAGCACTGCTGTGCTTAAACAAACTCCCACTGGGGGTGGGAGAGCCCAGCTAGACACACACTAATCTTCATCTCAAGAATAAAATGTCTTCAACTGGGAGCATAGTATCACGTGGGACAGTATGCCATCTTTTTAAAAAGAGAAATGCCCTTTCAACTTTTGTCTTTGCAGATTAAAGTTGAAAAACAGTGCCATAATCTTTTAAAACAACAATTCCTGAACGCTAAAAGTCATACAAACCAGAATAATGACATAAAATGTTAATCATTTTTTTGTTGTTTTAATAGCTATTTCTGAAGTTGCTACTTGATATTTGCCCATCCTCCTTAAAAGTCCTCCAACCAGCAACCAAGCAATGCCAAGCAAACGAGCAACAATTTGGTGGTGGTCTGAAGCCCCTTGTACAACTAGCACGTTAGTGGTTACCTATTGACAAGGAGCAGACATGAAAACAGGAATTGCAAAGAGTGCTTACATTCTCATTGTCTGTAAATGTTTTGTTTTAGATAATTTAAGTTTAAAGTAAAATCTAGCTTTCTCACTTTTCTTTACAAAAAAGAATCCATCTGAGAGTTAATGAATGCTATCAGGAATTCCAGTCTCACAGGAAATGAATAATTACTCTCCTGGCTCTAATAAGGCACCACATCCAGAACGTAATCCCCAAGAGGTTAACCCCAGGGTAACAGTCTCCTAACTATTCATTTCCACCTGCCTGGAGTTCAGTGGCACCTTTCAGACAAGCCTTTGAATATCTGGCTTAGTGAATTTAATTATGATCTTCCCGTGCAAAATATGTCTCCAAGATTATATCATGTCCCTGGAATTCCAGAAGTGAAGTTAGAAAGCCTTATTCAATGTTTTTCATGTATGGGAGTCAGAGTCCAAACATTCCTATGTCAAAAGTTCATGTACATTTATTTAGTGAAGTTGCAGCTGGTATTCAAATCCTTACTTGAGCATTTAAAAAGGAAGAAAAATTTTTTTACTCAATGTACTATTTATTATGTCTATTCATTCACACACAAGGACCAGACATAATTAAATTAGTACCAAAAATTAAGTAGATAATTATTTTCTTATTTGCTGGAGGAAGTTTTATTCATTATACATGTTTATCTTACCCATTTATTGCTGCACCCTCTATATCAACTCCACAATATCAAAGTAATATTCCATTAGATTACAGCAGAAACAAAAAAGTCAAGAGAACTCTTGTTCCATTATAATTAGAAAGACAAAGATGGCAAAAAAGAGTCTCAAAGTGATTTAGAAGAATCACAGATGAAAGAGAAATTCAAACTGAAGGAGATGCGAGTAAGTGTGAGAAAAAAATGACTATCATAAATTGGGAAAAATTTGTTCACTGACAAGGGCTGAAGAAGTAAAACAAAATGCAGATTCCTAATATATGCAAGAAATGTAAAAGAAAATTCTTAAAGAGAAAATCACAAATTGTGAAAGTCATAGTTAATGAAGAAAACGTGATTTTAGAGCATGCTTGTGGAAAGAGGAAAAACACACCCAGTGCTGTCTTGATGATGAACAATGAACCATGTACAGCTCAAAATGTCACATCCAAGGGAAAATACCTGAACTTCATCTTTTAAGAGATGGCCCATGAGCACTTACAGAAAGAACATAAGGACGTTCTCCCATATAAGAACGCCGGGATTGTCCCTGAACAGACAACAGACTACCCTTCCTTTTTGAACACCACCCCCAGTCTCACTCAGGGAAATGTTAATAGGGTATCTCAACATTCTGTCCTGATACCTCATTAGACCAGGGCCCCAGGCCTCAGTACCAACAGGCTTTATTCCCCATTGCCATGTTCATCTGCTGCCTACTTGTTAGAGCTGACTACATCTGGACCAATCTAACTGCATGTGGACCCATACAGACTACATCAGACACCCTCTGGAATCTTTGAGTCAGCTTCTATGACCATGTCTCACATCCTTGACTTCTTTGATCTCTGCCAAAAGGTAAATTCCTGCCCAAACTCTCTTCTCTATCCTCATTCCCCTTGGCAGCCATCATTCCCTGCTCCCTGCCTCTCAGCGCTTTCCGCTGCACCTCTGGCAACTTTGTTTCCAGGAAAACCAGCCCTTAAGCATCCATAAGCTCTTCTCAGAATACTATTTCCACCTTTGTACTTCAATTGAAATCAGGTCTCTCTTAGAAATACTGCTTCTTCCCCTGCTGATACCAACTACCCTCTACTCCCAATTCTAAACTATGGTGGTGGATTCACTCAGCCATGAGTGACAGAATCTCAGAGCCCCAAGAGAGCAATGGCATTAGAAGATAAAACACTGTAGTTCTCTCCCACGTAAGAAATATCTAGAAATGGGCTTCACAAAGTCAGGAAGAACCAAGGTTATTTCTTAACTGCTCGGATACCCAGAGCAGTAGTTTTGCCTCATAGTACAAGAGGGCTGTCATTTCACAGGTGAGCACAAGCATATTCAAGTTAGAAAAGAGAAGGCTCTTTTCTCTCTAAGGAAGCTTGGTGTCTGTTATAAACACCACTTTCATTTACATTCTATTGGTCAGACTGTGGTCATATGGCCAACCTAGTTGCATGACAGGCTGGGAAATGCAGTCTTTCTCTGGGTGGACACGTGCTCACATAAAAGTCATGATTATGTTGTTGAGGAAGAACAGACATGGGGTGTCAACTCACAATGTCTCCTTGGGATATAAATCTGTAATTCCAGGGCCTCCTCCAGAACTGTGGGCCTGTCCTGGTTCGGAGAGATTGCCTAGTCACTTCCACCTTCTCAGCAACACCTGGCTATGGTCTTCATGACACCCAGGTCCTCCTGTGTCATCTAAGACGTAGATAGCCTATTTAGCACCCTGCCATCATAATTATTTGACTTCCTCAATGCCGACATTTTCAACTTCCCTCCAGCTCTGCTATTCCCTCTCCCATCCACACACTAGTCTCATGGTCATCTTTGACATGTTTTTTAAGGTATTTATTTACTTATTTTTAGAGAGAGGAGAAGTGCAGCAGAAAGAGAGGGAGAGAAACATCAATGTGTGGTTGCCTCTCACGTGCCCCTACTGGGGACCAGGCCCGCAACCCAGGTATGTGCTCTGACTGGAAATTGAACCGGCATACTTTTGGTTCACAGGCCAGTGCTCAATCCACTGAGCCACACCAGCCAGGGCCATCTTTGATATTTTTAAACCCAACCCTTTACCCCATGAATCTCAACTTCTTGTCCTTCCAGCTCCCTTACTTCCCCTATCCTGTCAAACACTGAGACTGCTAGTCCCCTGAGAGCTGCATTTTTCCCAGCTGTCAGACTTCCTCTGTCTCCTTCAGTCCATCCCTCTCTTTCTCTCCCTCCCTCCCCATCTACTTCCCCCCAACCTTTCCTTCTTCCCTCCCTTCACCCATCTGGACACCAGAGTTATTCACATGAACTACCACCTACCTTCCTGGCAAACCTCTATTCTGAATCAATTATTTCCAAAGCAATGATCCTCAAAATTGGCTTAAAATTGCCACATAGTTTTAAAATGTCATTTTGTACATTTTCCCCTATACTAGATTTTAGTCTCTGTCTTCTCTGTATTTTAGTTGCAGAAGTGACACAGTATGTGATTCACAGGAGTCACCTGGTGTTAGTTGGCTTCTGGGTAGAATGATAGACAGATAAGTGACTTGATGACAATAAAAATATATACTGAACTATAATAAACTTACATTTGTAGCTACTTAAAGAAACAAAGAATGCCAATTATGGTGAATCTAAGCCCAAGAGAAGCTCCTGAAAGGCAGAGTGCAAAATTTTATCCTTGGACTTGTCCTGCTCAGCATGAATGAGGACAGAGTTGGAATGATTATTAAAACAGCAAAGACCTGAAAGCAAAAGTGTAGAATAAATATGGTGTGCTAGAAACAAGATCCAGAAGGCTCTGGATAGGGTAGAATCAATCAATTAATTTATCATATATATGATAAATATATATATATATATTATACACACACTTTGTTTGTTTTAATAAGGACAAATGTAAAGCTCTTCATTTCATGTAGGCTCTTTACTTAGATCCAAAACTCCAACTTCACAGATGGCAGAGTTACAACAGAATAGACAAAACTGTACAAATGAAAATACACATAAGGCTTTATTTTATTGTAGAGCTCAGTCTGAACAAAGAGCTCTTCCACAG